GAGGTGCAGACATTATTTGATATTAGAGATTTTCTGGATCAACACTTCCGGACATTGAAAGCTAGAGCCAAAAAGGAGCAAGGCTACAAAATCCGAAAGCAGCACATATTTAAAGCGAATCACACGTCGACCAACGCGAGGAAACAATTTAGGCAGTGCACTAACTGCAAAATACCGAATCATATTATAACCGAATGCAGAAGTTTCAAGGGCATATCAATGGATGAAAGACATAAATATGCNCGCAGATCCATTTATTGCTCGAGTCATAGTTCGCAAGTTAGACAAAGATGGACTCAAATTATATGAGCAAACGGTTAAAAAGACCAGAGAGGTGCAGACATTATTTGATATTAGAGATTTTCTGGATCAACACTTCCGGACATTGAAAGCTAGAGCCAAAAAGGAGCAAGGCTACAAAATCCGAAAGCAGCACATATTTAAAGCGAATCACACGTCGACCAACGCGAGGAAACAATTTAGGCAGTGCACTAACTGCAAAATATCGAATCATATTATAACCGAATGCAGAAGTTTCAAGGGCATATCAATGGATGAAAGACATAAATATGCCAAAGACAATAAAATCTGCTACAGGTGCCTGCTTCACAAATTAGGAGAAACTTGTACCAGCAATATGAAGTGTAAAATATGCAACATCAGCAGTCATCATGAGCTCCTGCACTTTGATAACGTCCAAAAGAAATCGGCAATGTCCACAAAAGCAAGTCTAAGAACGGTAATTCTGGAAACAGCCCAAGTGAGAGCAAAAGCTGCGAATGGTGAGCACATATTATTAAGGGCTCTTATTGATCAAGGGTCACAAATAACATCAATTTCCGAAGAGGCAGCACAGATATTAGGTGTACCAAAGAAAAAAGTGATGACAAAGCTTCATGGCCTAGGAGATGTTGTGGTTGGTGAATCGAAATTTAAAATTAAAGTGCAAATTACATCACGTTTTCTAAGCCAGCACGTCGAAGAAGTGGATGCCATAGTCTTATCAACCCTTACAACTGCGCAACCTGATCAATCCTTCAGGTTCAACTTTAAAAAATGGGAAAACTACACTCTTGCTGACCCATTATTTAACAAAGCTGATAGAATTGACGTGGTGATTGGTGGTGATATATTCGGCAGAATAATAGAAAGAGGCAAAAAAAAGCACAATGGAGTTCTTGCACAAGCTACCAAATTCGGTTGGATTTTGTCTGGAATAATAAAACAAAAGAAACCAGGCAAAGTCACATCGGCAGTAACCAACCTTGAGAGATTTTGGAAGCTAGAGGAAGAACAAGATGAAGAACTAAAGTGGAAGACGAAATGTGTTTTAAAAAGTTCGAGGAAACCACTAAACAAGATGCAGATGGGCGATTCATTGTGGAAATTCCATTTAAAGACGACATGGAGCTGGGNCTAAAGTGGAAGACGAAATGTGTTTGAAAAAGTTCGAGGAAACCACTAAACAAGATGCAGATGGGCGATTCATTGTGGAAATTCCATTTAAAGACGACATGGAGCTGGGTGACTCTCGTAAACAGGCAATTGCTCGGCTGCTATCCATGGAAGCCAAGTTCAAACAGAGTGGAAAGCTTGGCAATGATTACAAGGAATTCATTCACGAATACCAAAACCTTGGGCATATGATAAAAGCAAACGAGAAGGTAAATGGAAAATACTATTTGCCACACCAGGCTGTTATACGCGAGAATAAATTAACTACAAAACTTCGTGTTGTGTTTGATGCGTCAGCCAAAACTTCAAATGGAAAGTGCTTAAACGATATCATGTTGACAGGACCCAAACTTCAAAGGGATGTGTTTGATATTATTCTCAAGTGGAGACTATGGAAAGTGGTAATCACAGCTGATGTTGAAAAAATGTTCCGGCAAATTAAAATTTCGGAAAAAGATAGAGTGTATCATCGAATTTTGTGGCGGGAACATCCTTCAAATAAAATAGAGGAATACGAGTTGACGACAGTGACATATGGTACCGCTTCAGCACCATATTTAGCAGTGCGCACATTAATTGAAATTGCCAACAAGTGCTCAAGTAAAAACAATTGGCTACAAAAAATCATAAAGGAAGATTTTTATATGGATGATCTCATGACTGGTGGAGATTCGGTGAATCAATGTATTATGATCCGAAAAGAAATCAGCAAGCACCTTCAGTTATTTGGAATTCATTTGAGGCTATCGAATTGCGACAATATTACCAAAAATATCACCACCATGGCAGAAACTGAAATAACTCAAATAAAAGAAAATGAAGCAGTGAAAACACTTGGGCTATACTGGGATCCAAAGAAAGATCAGTTCCAGTTCAAAATTAATTTGGGAATGCCGAAGAAAANCGAATTGCGACAATATTACCAAAAATATCACCACCATGGGAGAAAATGAAATAATTCAAATAAAAGAAAATGAAGCAGTGAAAACACTTGGGCTATACTGGGATCCAAAGAAAGATCAGTTCCACTTCAAAATTAATTTGGGAATGCCGAAGAAAATGACAAAAAGAAGTATTTTATCACAAATCGCCCAAATATTTGATCCGTTGGGCTGGCTATCGCCAATCACTGTGGTTGCAAAATTATACATGCAAAAGCTTTGGATTGAAAAGGCTGGATGGGACGAACAGCTTTCTGATGATCTACAAAATGAATGGAAGCTGTTTATTGACACTGTTGGCATATTGGAAGAAGTACGTATTCCACGCTGGATTGAAACTAACATGGAATGTGAAGTAGAAATTCACCGATTNAAAGGCTGGATGGGACGAACAGCTTTCTGATGATCTACAAAATGAATGGAAGCTGTTTATTGACACTGTTGGCATATTGGAAGAAGTACGTATTCCACGCTGGATTGAAACTAACATGGAATGTGAAGTAGAAATTCACGGATTCGGTGATGCTTCCGAAAAGGCGTACGCTGCAGTGATATATATCAAAGTTGGCGATTCCGTAAAGCTTTTAACTGCCAAAACAAAAGTGAGNGAAACTAACATGGAATGTGAAGTAGAAATTCACGGATTCGGTGATGCTTCCGAAAAGGCGTACGCTGCAGTGATATATATCAAAGTTGGCGATTCCGTAAAACTTTTAACTGCCAAAACAAAAGTTAATCTACTAAAAAATCGGAAAACATTACCTAAGCTGGAACTCTGTGCTGCTCATTTACTAGCCAAATTAATTAATAAAGTTTGCATGATCATTGCGAGGAATCATAAAGCTTATGCATTTAGTGATTTAACAATAACCCTTGGCTGGATTGAAAATCATAAAAACAAAGACAAATTCATTAGAAATCGGGTGGAAGAAATCCAAAAATTTATACCAAAGCAACCTGGAGACACGTGAACACGAAAGACAATCCAGCAGATGTTCC